TACACCGAGAAATTTACGCAGCTGAACAGGGGGAATTTGAGAGGGAGAGATTGGGAGGAAGTGGCTGCAACTGTGAGTGAAAGGTGCGAAAAGCAGAGCAAGAGCGTTGAGCAGTGTAAGAATAAAGTGGACAACTTAAAAAAGAGGTATAAGTTGGAGAGGCATAGGATGAGTAACGGTGGCATTTCGATCAGCCACTGGCCTTGGTTTAAGCAGATGGAGCAAATTGTTGGAAATTCTTTGACGATGAAGGTCGTGTCCGATGAGGATCGGAGTGTTGGCTCCTCGGGGAATACGCCGAGGCTATCAAAGAGGTTCTACTCCTTCCCATCTCTTTCCCCTTATCTAGGCATTCTAAAACTATTCATGGGAGAAAAAAACATGTTATGAAACAAATGGGTGTTCTTTCAGATCTATGTTCTGTATGTGTTTTTCATTTATCTCTCTATTTACCTGAATGCATTAGTTACTTGTCTATTTTCGATGGAGATCTTTTAGTAAGTTGCTGGCCAAGCCTGGTGACCATTGTTTCTTGATTGCACATACAATTGTCTATTTGGACATTAACACTACAAGAGACAAAATTTCTTTTCATGTTTTTACTGATGGGGGTTGTAATTGGTAGTATATCTGCAATTCTTGCATCCTTGGAATCTTTTATGTACCGGTTATGGCTCTGGGAGTGGAAGGAGCGGTTTGAAGTTCTAAGGGCTTATCTTTAGCAATAGTGCTTAGATCATACTGGATCAAGATTGTACAATAATTGAAGCGAATGTTTAGAATTTTTAATTTGTCCTCTCAAAACTGTACTAGCAGCATTGTTATTTCAGATGTCTAAAGATGGCTTTGTCTGGAAATATCTGTTTAGTGTATAACTTGAACTTCTGCCTGTTATTTCTGCCCTAGATAATACCATTAGTGCAGTTTGATTGGTCATGTGTTTTGCAGTTTTCAGGTGTGTTAAACTTAAAGCAATCATAAAATGATGGTCTTGCTATTATAATATAGATTTTATGGCGTGCAAGTAAACTGATTATTCTTGTCCGGATGGGCCAGTCTTGCTTTTGGGAGCAGATTTCAGTTTCCATTTGCATGACATATTATTACCAATATGGTGTTTTTTATGTGTACTGACGGAGTACTGAGTAGTTTGGAGTTACTTGGTTTACATGTATATACAAGACACAAATATTTGGACATGCCTGGTTGATTTGCTTTCATCTTAAAAGACCCACATTTTTTCTTGAGTTTGTTGTTTTTGTTCCAAGTTTCTAGTTTCCTCCAAGCAAAAGCCATTTGTGATTGTTTTCTTCACGAGGTAACAACTTATCTTTGTTTTTGCGATCTGTCTGGCAGGTATGTTCTTCCCACACCCAATACTGCTGGTCACATGAATAACATAAAACCCAAATCAGTTTCCAGTCCAAGGTGGAGAAGAATTGTCTTTAAAATTAGTGGTGCAGCTCTTGCAGGGGCTGGTCCTAACAACGTCGACTCAAAGGTTAATATAATTTGCTTGTGACCTTAGTAGGTCAATAACATTATATATCATTGGGATAATTGGATAGTTGCCAACATCAAATTTGTTTCTCTGATGATTAGGTTGCAATGGCAATTGCCAGGGAAGTCGCCATGGCTTGTCGCCTGGGTGTGGAGGTATTAATTGTTGCATTTAACCACTTTGAATTGCTTCTTTCCATTTGTTCACGTTGGGCTCTTTATAATATTGCAGGTGGCAATTGTTGTTGGAGGCCGTAACTTCTTCTGTGGAAATTCTTGGGTGACTACAACGGGTTTAGATAGATGTACAGCATACCAAATTGGGTACGTTTTCACTCACCACCTTGGCAATACCAAATCCTATTTCTCATGATTTTTTTGGCTGTTTTTATATTTTACACTGATTTTATCGTATTTTTACTCCTAAAAAAAGATAACATAGGTCTTCAGTAACAAAAATCAGTGTTTTATGCGACATTTTGGTTACATTATTGAAATTTAGATTTTTTCAAGGCTAGAGGCTTCTCCCATAATGCTAGACATTTGGAAAAATCATGAAAATGTCAAAATATTGTGGAAATGTCAAGGAATTGTTGGTATATTGACAAATTAACGAAAACATTCTAATTTTTTTGAAAATTCTTTGTGTGTGTGTATGTGTTTTTTTTCCTGATATTGAACTCTAGGAAAGGGGCCTGTATATTTAAGGAATAAGTAATTTTGTATTTTAGGAAGGAAATGAAGAGGTTAACATACCTTATAGTGTCTAAAGCTTGAACTTACCTAGGTTGGTGATACATTGCACTTCATAGGGGTGCCCGCCTAAGGTCTGCCAAAGCGGCGGAGCCTACGTAATAATTTGTGGCAGTGGGTGCATGCGTTCCCATGACCCCTTGTTCAAAAAATTATTCAAAAAGTGTCTAAAGCTTGAAAGTTCTGTCACACTAAGTTTTTTGATGCATAGTTGAGGCCTTGATTGCATCAGAGGTTTATTGGGATAAATTAATAGAAGACTAATAAATTTATACAACGATGTTGGAATGTATCATTTGTTGTTTGTAGACTGGATGTGGTAGCTTATGAAATGCTCAGTGCAATTTAAGAAGTGTAGGTTTATCGTGTATGTGCTGACTTTAACTTGATTGTAAAATTTACCAGATTAATACCGTTTTGTTGTTACTATATTCATGATTGATGTTGACATGTCGAATACCATATCCACAGTATGATGGCTACTGTGATGAATTCAATACTTCTCCAGTCAGCATTAGAGAAGATGGGCGTTCAGACTCGTGTACAATCTGCATTTATGCTTCATGAGGTTGCTGAACCATACAATAGACAACGTGCTATAAGGCATCTTGAGAAAGGCAGAGTAGTTATATTTGGTGGAATTGGTGCTGGCGCTGGAAATCCCCTGTTTTCCACAGATACAGCTGCGGCTCTTCGAGCTTCTGAGAGTATGACCTTGCCTACCATCCTCTCGCTCTTCCAGTCACATTATTGCATGCATGATCCCTTATTTTTCATTTTTCCAATTGTATGCGCAGATATGCAATGCACATATTAGCGTCTTTTGGACATGAATGCTTACATAGTTTTACATGCCTTTCCCTCTTAGTTCAAGCTGAGGCAGTTCTCAAGGGCACCAATGTTGATGGGGTGTATGATTGCAATTCCCAAGACAACAATTTTACATTCAAGCACATCTCTTTCAGGGAGTTGGTATCAAGAGGTGCCACTACCATGGACATGGCCGCACTAACTTTCTGTGAAGAGAACAACATTCCCGGTACGTATGCTTGTTTATGTTATTAATTAAAGTAGTGTACTCAATAGCTTATTTAACGATATCAATTCTATCACAGCAGCAGGCAGAAAATTCTGGTTTAATCTCATGGCATTGAATATAAGTTTTGATGTACTTTTATCCATGAGGTAGAGCGAGTGCTAGAATCTTGGTTATAAGTTGATAATGGTTAAATCATCATTCGTTGCTTGGGTTTTCAGAAGTTTTTGTTATTGCATAATTGCTGTAGGATCAGTTTGGAATTCAACCCAGTTTTCTTTTATGTACAGTTGTCGTCTTTAATCTTCTTGAGCCTGGAAATATCTCAAAAGCATTATGCGGAGAGCAAGTTGGTACACTGATTGATCAAAATGGAAGAATTAGCTAATGTTTCGTGATGTTGAGAAATATTTAGTATTAGGTATGTTGTGTCAAGTCAGTAGAGTATTGTTCAGTTGGCTCTTTCAAGAAATGGTAGCTGCCTCCTTTAAGCTTCTGGGTTCATCCCGGAAGCGTTTACTATGTTACTTGCTCAGTAACTCTGTGTGAAAGTAGAGTAGATTCTGATTACTGATTTGAAGATCTGATTCTTGGTGTGGTGCCAAAATTTCTTCTGCATTTGCCTTTGTATTTGTATTTGTATTTGTATGTATATTATTATTGATTCAGTATAAGGGTAGGTTAAGCAAATTGATAAGGATGACAGATTGATTGGTGTTCATGTTATCTTTTATTCAGAAAAGAGTATAATTTACTTGTCATGTAATGTATTTAAAGTGTTTGTAAGTTGAATGCCAATCTGGCTCATTGCCACAACTTTCAATCCATTATTCAGCAGAAATTTTTGCTGTTTTTCATAATGTATAAAGTACAGTTGAAGTGTGCTGAAACAAGAAGCAATTGGACCAATATCAAGAGAATTTTGGGTTTTTTTTTTGGTGGTAATTGCTTTCAGAGTTATTATTAGCATGTTGATTTTGCATATGATTGTATCATTTTTCTTAATTGTAGGAATGAATCTACTTTATATTTGAAATTTTGATTTCATCTAATGAACTTGAAGAAATAGTATACTAGACTCAGATAAGTAATGTTTTTGTGTTTTCTGTCTTCTGTTTTTAATTAGAACTATTTTTTTGTAATATGGGTTTTTATGGAAATTTTTATATTTTATTTTTGGTTGTATTGAGTGTTTATTTCAATTGAATTTGGGTTTTCGATTCTTCGAAGGTCTCAATTATCAATGAAGGGAACTTTTTCTTTCTTTTTTTTTGGGAACTAAAATATTGTATTGAACCAAAATTATTTAAGGAACTCCAATGTTGAAGGAAAATTGGTAGGGCTGCAGAAACGGTGATAGAAAAGACATGCCCAAATCTTCCATAACTTGCCTACTTCTGCATGGCCTCTTTATTTAGACGTTTTTTGTTTGAATTCAAAACTTGGGTCACCACACAACCAAAATCACCTTAGAAAAAAAAAAGGTCAAAAAATGTCGTTTCTTCACAAAAACTTACATTTTTAATTTTATAATGCCTTAAAATATGACCCTAAAAATGTGAAAGTAAAGAATCAAACTTGCAACTAAAAAAAAAAAATTATAACGGATAACTATAGCTATGATGTCAAGATGAGGTTGAGAGATCTTACTCCTTTCGTAAAAGTTGGAGGTTCAATTTCTCATTCTCGCATTTGTTGTATTAGGAAAAAAAAGAAAAAAGTAACATAGTCGTTGGGAACTCACATCCAAGTTTGGTTTTTGTTATTACTCAACAATTTGTTAGCTTTGATTAGAAGATTTAGCTATGAAATAGGAATCTAATTTTTCAATTAATAGAATGGAATATTTTAAACGTTTGATAATCAATTTATTTTATGTTTCTTAATTTTGAAAGACAATTTTTCTTCTTTGAGTTTAAAGGAGATGTGAATTTGAACTTCAACCTTCTAGGGAGGTGATTAATATCTTTGATTTGTTGAACTATACTCATGTTGCGGGAAAAAAAACTCATATCACCGAATTTTAAAGTTCATATATATGGTATTACAAGAAGATGTGAGGAGATGAAATAGAGGATTTGAAGATTCAATTATCCATTTTTCCTTTTGGGAGCCTCAAGATTTAGAAACTAATATATACTCCAACCTTAAATTACATGATAGGAAACTAAATTAATTAGCTTAATAACAGCTTATAGGAAGATCAAGGGACCTTTCCCTTCCCACTGCCACAGGGAGCAAACATGAATCAAGTTTTACAATAAACACCAAACGTAGATTCTAATAAATACCATAAATTTGCATGAGAAAAATGCAAGAGAAGATTAATTTAAACTAAACATTATCTTAACAATCAGATCAAGGGTCAACCCACCTGAAAATTTAGGCTAAACCATACCATCTTCTGTGGTGGCTAGAGAAGGCGAAAGCGAATTGCGCGACTCGTCGTAATCTTCTCCGAGCGGGGACTGCTCGACCCTGATATCTTCGATCATCTTCGCCACTTCTGCCATTGTTGGTCTCTTCTCAGGCTGTGGCAGAACACAGGCCAACCCAACATGAAGCATTGACACAAGCTCCTCCTCAATGTTCTTGTACCTCAACAGCTCAGGATCAAACACTTCTGCAGTCCACTCTTCCTTCACCACGGATCGGACCCATTTCGGGAGGTCGACCGCCTGGTCTTCCT